TGGATGCCTGCCAAAATTTGTTACTGTCATCAGACTTCTTCATGACAACATGACAGCAACTGTTTTAAGCAATGGCTTGGAAATAGATCCCTTCACTGTTAGGATCGGAGTCAGTCAAGGATGTATGATTGCACTAACACTTTTTTTCCCCATTTATATCTGTGTTGTTCTGCATCTCATTGCTGATAGACTTCTATCTGGAGTCAGGATCTAGTATTGTATGGACAGGAATCTCTTTCACATCAACCAACTGGTTGCAAATCCAAAATAACCAAAACTTCCATTACTGATCTTCAGTATGCTGACAATTTTGTCACGTGTGCCCACTCAATTGAAGAACTCAGTGTCACTTGCCTGCTTCTGTAAAGCGTACAAAATGCTTGGACTCACTGTCAACTTCATGAAAACTAGTATACTTTACCAACTTACCTCAAGCCATCTAGCTGCTCCCTTACAGATTGCAGTTAAAGGGCAGTCCTTGGAGAATGTTGAGCATTTCCCCTACCTGAGTAGTCACCTTTCTCAAAAAGTAAACATAGATGATGATGATCAATACTGAATAAAATCTGTGAGTGCTGCCTTTGGATGTCTTAGAAATCTTATCTTTGTTCATGACATCAGGACCCAAACCAAACTTCTCGTGTACCAAGGTGTTGTCATTCCTACCCTGTTGTATGGGTGCAAAACTAGGATGACATTATTAGAAACACTCGAAACCCTTGGAATGTTACCATCAGTGAAGTCTTCAGAAAATCCTCCATATTAACTGGAAGGACAGAAGAACCAATGCCAGTATTCTGGCTCAAGCAAACACCACCAGCATTGAAGTCGGATTTATACACCGTCAGCTCTGTTGAACAGGACATATTATAAGGATGCCTAATAACTGGCTCCAGAAACAGGTCCTGTACTCCCAACTCATGAATGCTGAACCTCTCTAGAGGTGGATAGAAGAGGAGATTCAAGGACACCTTAAAGGCCAGTCTGACAAAATGCGATATTAACATAAGTACCTGGGAGACTCAAGTACTGAATTGTCCCCACTGATGTCATGAAGTACAAAAAAAAAATATCGACCATTTTGAGCAAACTTGCCTCGCTATGGAGGCGAGCAGGCAACAGAAACAAAGGGGATCCACTCTTTCCTTCTGGAACTGTATGCCGTATCTTCTCAGATTGGCCTCTTCAATCATTTGGACTCACTGATGACTTTCCTGTCTAGTAGAAGACTGTCATCCTTGTATCGAGGGACTGCTGACTGTGACAAGTATGATGGATGGTAGGGAGAAGGACTGTGCAAATGGTGCTTGCTCTTTATTGTTTCCAGTTGCCAGGAGCAAAACAGGAGGAGGCTATAGGTGAAAGGAAGAATAAAAGAGACCCTGGTTTAACTTTCCCAAAAGAAGGGTTAATACTTAGATTGCCCCCAGTATGTATCCTTATACTGGTTAAAACTAAAGTAGTTTAATACACCATTTCTTCTTGGGAACAGCCTTCAATCCATTTTAAAATAGCTTGTATTGATTTTGTTTAATCCAGAAAAGAGTTGGCATAATCTAAATCAGAGTAAACCAGGTTTAATTTGGTGCTATTGGTTGCAAAAGTTTTAGCTTTAACTGAATTGGCTTTAAATTTATTTTAGTTAAATTGCAGTGATTGTAGAGAAGAACTTATGGCACTAATGACAAAGTATATCTAGCTGGGTTTTTAGTTGTAGCCGTGTTGGTCTAAGGACCTTGAATATCTACCATGGTACAGTCTCCTTTACCTTTTGTCCCCTCCCCCCCGTCCCCCCTGCACTTTCCCTAATTTCCACCTGTTTACATTCTCACTGACATCCTGCCACACTTTTAGCTTCTTTCATTCCTTGGAGTCTCAGAACAGCAGAGACTCCCTATGCCTGAAGAAGGGTGATTGCACCCAAAAGCTTGCAAAAAACTTTTTTCCAGCTACTCAGTTGGTCTAATAAAAGATATTGCATCTCCCCAAAGAACCTTGCCTACCTAAAGTACATCTAGACCTTTTCTGAAGTGATTTGTGTAAACAATTGATGTAGCTCCCATGTGGCTCTTCTGCAACTAAGTGGAAGGAGACATGACCGTAATACCATCTATGAGATTGTCTACTGAAAAGAGTAGAGTTCTGTTTTTGAAATCCTGTTTGGCTGTAAGTGAGCATATATTCAAAACATCCCTTAGTACTAATCTAGTAATATCTCCATAACTGAATGGGACTGGTAACTGCTTTCTGCTCATACTGTTTCCAGAGAAGAGTTGACTGATGGGATGAAGAGGGCTGGAATAGCACTTCCTCCCTAAATACCTGAAAAACTTGCCATATATATCAAGAAGTGGTGGTTGTGAATTGGGGCCTCTACTCTTGACAAACTAAGCACAGTACCTGTGTTTGAGGGTGGCATGAGAGGTGATAATGTTGAGCACTGGCTATCCCAAAACTATAACTGCTTTGCATATGTACATTCTGAACTTGAACATACAGCTTAAGCTGCATAATCATGGTTAAGATGTCTGATTCCTGTTTTCTTTGTTTCTGATGCTTTAGCTTTTTAGTGGCGAGATGTATCTGCAGTTGAATTCTGCCTAGTCTGCAGTTTTTCTTTCAAGGGACTCTTCTAGTCATCAGTGTCCATCACATTAAAGATGAGTAATGACTTTCTACCTCTGAATTGATTTATCTAAACAGTAGCATTTGTTGGGATTTTTTTAAAGCAGATCTCTCAAGAAGATGAAGCATCTTTAATATGGTGTGGGGGGGTGTTGAGCGAGTTGCTTGTATGGGCCAGTATCCACACCCTACTGAAACTGGTGCAGCTAAGATGGACTGGCCACATTTCAAGAATACCCAACACTCGCCTGCTGAAGAAAATCTTCTACAGTGAACTGTCAAATGGAGTTTGCTTTTGCGGCATACCAAGCAAGCAGTACAAGGACACCCTAAAGATATCCCTAAGGAGTTTCAGCATTGACCCGGAGTCATGGGAGCAAATCACTCGTGACCATCCATCCTGGAAGTCGTCAATCCAGAGTGGAGCACTGGCCTTCGAGCAGCGGCGTATGGCAGAGGCAGTGAGGAAGCACATGCCCAGGAAAAGGAGGACTTCTTGTGTCCAGTCCTCGTTGCTGTCCTGCCCCTGCTGCAGCATATTGTTCAGGGCAAAGATTAGGCTTATAAATCGCCTGCGTACCCATGCAAGCTAGCCTCCACCCCCCTCCTCTCTCTCTTTTCTCTCTCTCCTTTCTCCTTTTTCCTCTCTCTCTCTTTCTCTCTCCCTTTTTCTTTCCCATTTCCTTTCTCTCTTCTTCCCTCCCCTCCTTCCCCACTGGATGCGGTTATCTTTGCTTGTGAAGGATGAACAACAACACTTGTACAGGCTCTTCCTAGTGCTAATGTGAGATGGCAGACAGTGAGCAAACTTCCTTCATGTGGCTGTCTGGATTCACTTCATAGTGACCCATAACTCTTTCCAGTTCAGGACTTTTGGGCAAGCATGGCTAGTCAGATTGAGTTGTGTAGCAGTTCTGTAATGTAGTGTCCGTGGTGCGTTTAGATTGAAGACATCTGACACTTGGACAGAATTGTAAATATGAAAGGCTAGTACCATGTGCTTCTGAGATACTCTAATCCCAAGTAGTGGTTTGGGGTTTGGAGTAATAGGGTTGGAGTGGTACTTGTAGCTGTGATGGTCCAAGAAATATGCAAAAAGCGAGGGCTTTTTTGTGATACTTTTTAAGGTAATGGAAAGTATCCAGGACTGTTGAGTAAGTTTAGGCTGTCAGCTGCTTAAGGAAAGCATAGTCGTTAGGGTCTCAGTCTGACCAGCACTTCTATACCTGAGTTCAGTGTTGGGCTCAAGTTTCACAGAAAGTCTGGAATTTTTCCTGTGCCATGTTTATACAGCACCTCGTACAGTAGACTACTGTAGTCATGATTTCCAGGTTCTGTTATATTTTAGATAAGTGTTTGCACTTGGCCACTTCTTTTTCTAGAGTGTATGGCAGGCTAGTTCCTTCTTGCCTATATCATCAGTCGGTGTCCAAGAGGAGCTGTGATTCACTGCAATCAGGAAAGGAATCGTACAAAAATATTTCTGAACTACTACCAGGAGGTTGCTTTGTTAACCTTATTTATATGCCACCCTGAGCCTGTCTTTAGGAAGAGTAGCATATACACCAAACTAAATAAATAAAATTGTTAGTGAAGATGATTTTGAGGTAAACAGAATTAACAAGGGAGACTCTGTGTGTCAGGAAGGAAGAGAGCTCTTTGGGGTGCTTGTGAAACCAGAAGATTAGAGATTATGCTTTTAATAATAATGCTTTGTCAGAGCATCAGAGAGTGCTGTCTGACAGCACACCTATCGTAAAAACAGCTTTTGACTACTTCTAAACACTACTAAAGTAAGTTTGCAAATATTCAGAAAGTTTCAGCATCTATTATTTGGTTCCTGAAAGGAAAGGTGAGTTCTGTTAGAAGAACAGGAGGTTCATCTGGGATGCAGCTGAAGTTTGGCTGTTACTTTAGAACTTCTTACCACTTAGTGTCTTCAGGAACGTGGAGCACAGAAGTGAGATTAAGTGAACTGTGTGGATTTTTAAACTACCTCACACTCTCTTGCACAATGCTTCTCCTGGACTTGTAGCTTTTGGGTACTGTTGTTTAACATTCATTGTATTTCAGAATGTGTACATAGTTAACATAATCGTCAAGGAAGCAGCAGTGGTAGAGTTAGATGGAGTTTTAAAACTTTGGGGTGTCTTTTGGGGGGCCTGTTGTCTGGGTTGCTTCTCTTTTTTTTGTAGGATCCCTGAACTTTTCTGGAGAGCATGGGATACAAATCTACATGATGAAGATGATTATTATGGCAGATGCATTTTACTGTATATAAGTTTGGTGGTCTTACTATGAATTGGGAAATGCTTCCTTCCCCACATCAGTTATCCCTGAGAGAAAAAGGGTGAGAATTGCTTCTCAAATTTTACAGATCCCTTGCAGGCTAGCTAGAAAAAAAATTTGCCCTACTCAAAACCTACATGCAGCATGCTCAAGAGGTTCTACAGTCCTTTCAAATGTCCTGATCCTATACAGGATGTTCAAACTACTGTTTGGTTTGTCTTTCCATTCTGAGGTGAAGTCCATTTTCAGTGTCTGAGAAATAATCCTCCATGCAGAGATCCATAAACTTCTAGAAAATACCAGCTAGGTTTACCATACTTTCTGAGCCTCCTGCCTGAGGGATTACTCTCACATTATGTTCCACTGAGTTTTCTTGGTTTGGTTGTTTTAATATGGATGTTCTGTGGATGCTGTTACAGGAAATCACTGCAGGTTATCTCTCCAAGCCTCTGACATCATAGCACTGCTTTGGTGATTTCTGGTTGTCTCGGTGCTTACCAAAGTGTGGAGAATCTAGGTTCACTGAGTAAGGTTAGGTTGATGGGCATAACTTCCTGAGAGAGTGGGAACTTTTGTCATTTTATTTACAGATTAGGAAAATGTATTATGAGGCTTTATACTCTATTGTCAGAGCAAGGTGGCAGATGATGTTGATTCTGTTAACTAGGAACATCTTAACTCCTACCTTTCAATTAGCTGTCCATATTGCATGCCATAGTATTACCAAATTTTATCTGCAGACTTTACAAGTAGGGTTTCTCAAGCAGTGTCAGTTCCTGTGGTAGGGTACCATTTGATCTGTGTTTTGAGACCATTTACTGTAGGATAGTGATTATCATCCGCCTGCATCCTTAACTGGTGCTTCCGGTTTGATTGTTACTTCAGATTTCCCCTCCTACTTTTGAATAGCTAGCCTGTATGGACTGTTTCTCCACCCCCAGTACCCTCTTCTCCCAGTTCTGTTGTTTGTTCTGATAGAATATGGGCTGGTCTAAGTCATGCCTTTACAAAAAGCATACTGAAATTCAGTTGCTATACAGGAGATAGCAGATGCTGACACAGCAGTGAGATTAATGTACAAAACAGTTTAAGATGACTGGGTTCACTGGTTTGGAGTTATTGAGAGAGCTGTTTGGAGAACCTTTCAGAGACAGCTGTATAGTGGCATTTGCCAGTTGGTAGGTGCTACATTATTGGTACCATCAAAAGCTTCATTCTCCATTGCCAGCATGCCAAGGAAAATAGGAGCTGTCTAAATGCAAATGTCTGACATCTGCAAACACGCTGCACTACAGTTGCTATATTGCAGCAGCACAGTTCTTTGCAGTTCCACTGTTTAAAAGCCTGGAGAGTGGGGTTTTGTTCTTGATTGGCTGGAAACTGGAAGGCTTCAAGTCTCAGTTAATATTGTTTACACATTAAACATAGCATTTAGCTGCTCCTGGATGTCACTGTTCTCCCTCCTGATTTTTTTACAGTTGCTGGCTCTGGCTGAAGATTCAGAATGGGAGACAAGCCTATTTGGGAGCAGATTGGATCCAGCTTCGTACAACATTACTATCAGCTCTTCGATACGGACAGGACCCATTTAGGAGCAATATATGTAAGTACTTGTGGAAAGAGGGTGGTATGTCCCTTTGACTACTTTAAATTTGCTTCTTTTCTGAGGGGGAAGAAGATTCTTAACCTCTATTGGATTTAATTGATGTTTGTCCTAAATGCTTGCACAGCAGTGACAGATAGGTTTTGTTCCAATTCCTAAATATTGATCATCTTAATCCTACTTTCTGTCTTATATCTTTGCTGGACTCTCTCATTTCTATTTAATCTCTGGAGTATTTTTTCCAAGTTATACTTGTAGCTGCTAGTGATGGCAAATTGTGACTGGTAGTGTAAGTTGTCCCATGGTGACATTTCTTTGTAGAAGCCATAATTCTTGGCTAGAATCAGATAAACTTGAGCTCCATCCTGGAGTTGCTAACTCAGTGTGACCAGCTTTCTGTGTGCCAGTCTGTGTACTGGGAGCAGGATCATTCTGTTTCTTGTTACAGAAGGGAGTAATGTGGACTACAGGATTTAACACCCCCACTGCCTGCTCTGTGTCTGAATATTTATTCAGGTTTATTTTTCAAGGACTGAGGGGTTATGGCAAAGTTTTTGTGCTGTCTGTCTGCTCTTTACTTATTGTGCACCTCCAGACTTTCCCTTTCCTGGCTGCACAGGAAGCAAGCATAGGCCTGTCAATTATGGCTTGATTTAGTTTGTTTCCATCTGTATCTGACAGCTGCAGCTTATGACTCTTGGAGCTCAGGCTGTATTTTTCATCAGAGCACAAGAATTTAAAGCTTGTTCATTTGGCTCCAAGTTATTTATTTGGCTTCCCAAATTAAAGCCATCTGTGACTGTCTTGCTTCCATTTCCACAGCAGTCCTACCTTGACCAAATCCCTAGCAGGGTAGAGAGACCTGAAACAAAGACAAAAGCTAGGAACTGTCTGTTCCATTGCCTTCTTTCTGCCTTGCACTGAGAGAGACTCTGTTACCCAGCAGCGAAACTCAGGCCAGAGTGCCTCCTTCTGAGGATTTGCAGGGGAAAAATGGTGCTTTCAGAGCCCCATCAGTGCTATCTGTCTCTGTTATTGGTCCTTGCTCCCTCCAATTCATGATACAGTTGTCAATTGGCATGGTGGAGACACTGCTCCTGCATCCTCTACAGTAACTCCCTTGAAGAAAAAAACATCTTCTAGAGGTTGGGCAGGAGTTCAGCAAACCATGCCACCTGCCACTGTTTCTCATTCTGCTCTTCTGGCACCTGTCTCAGCTACCATATCTACCGACTGCAGTAGTGAATCAACAGGTATGTATCACATTTTTTTTGTAGATCTTCAGACAGTGTCCAGAAGAGACCTTCACTTGCAGAATTTCTTCAGTGATTGCAAGGTCCCTCTAGGACATAGGCCCTTTAATTATCCCAGTTATGCTTTGCCCTTCCTTTACAAACCTAAACAGCCAAAGACTTTTGTAGCCCTCAAATTGTCATTCTTAAGCTGAATTTGGCAGTTAGAGGATTTCTTATTAGCTCTTTTTCCAGTTGTACCCACACTTGGCACATATTGCTGATGGCCATGCTTACTTTCACACTTGCTGTTTTCTAACAAAAGAAGCTCCAACCAAGTTTCAGCCAAGCTCCAACACTTTTCCCCTTAGAAATACCTGGAGAACCCAGAACTGTCAGACTTGGACCTATGTCATGCTTAGAAAGCCAAGAAATGAAACCCAGACTAGAAAGATCTTTGAGTCAGTGTATTGTGACCGCTTACAGGAACAGCATTTAAAAGAGCAAACAGCCCTTGTTCCCAGAGGAACCTAAATAAAGATACTTTCAAATCATCTGAGGTCTGCTGACTCTCAACAGGTAGCAGAAAACTGCTGCTGGAATGGACTATTTTGTTTCTTGGTTTGGTTGAAGTCTGGGTCATATACCGCAGAGCCACTTGACTCATTGCATTGTGTTTGTACAAAAACAAATTATTGCTTGAACTTTTGGGAATAGATTGTCAAAAGACATGGGCCACGAGTAAATCAAATCATCCCTTGAAACATAGAGCAGCTAACAGCTGTGTTACTTGGGCACTCAAGTAGCCAGTGTGAGGTTCAATCTTTTAGTGGGCTTTTGAAGTATGGCCTTGGAAAAAAGTCCTCTGTTTCATAGTATAAGCAAGTTGGTCTATGTCAGTGGTGTTCAACTTGTTGGCCCTGTGGGCTAGATAAGCGACCCAGAGCTGGTCTATGGAACAGATCGAGCCCTAGACACCAAAATCAGGCCCTGGGGCCTGGTGTCACCCCCTCCCTGCCCTGTGTGCCGGGATGGGGCCCAGTACCACCCCGTTCCTGCCCCACATACTAAATTTGGACCCCAGGATCCCAGTGCCGTACCTGCTGGGATTGGGTCCCTGAGGCTTGGTCCCTGGGTCTCTTGCCTAATCTCTGCAGGCTGGGATCAGGTGCCCAATCCAGCGTGCAGGGCCAAGGGCTCTCCATGGGTGTGGATGTTTGGCAGTGGGAGAGCTCCCCCTGCCACCATGGGTCTGGATGTTTGGCACTGTTGCCCCTGCCACCAAATTTCTGCACCCATGGGGAGCCCTGTGTGCTGGATGACAGCGCATTGGCTGGGGGTTGAGCACCCCTTGTCTCAATGAATTAATCCTAAATGCCAGCTCAGTGAGATACATGACATGTATTTAAATTCTGATGGCTGTTGTCAGTATTTATTAGACAGTAATTTGTTGTAGTGATTTTGACAAATGGTAAATGAAAAAGAGCAATATTTTACTGAAACCAATACTAACCACTAGCAAGAACAGCCTGGAAGGAACAAGGTGGCGCAGTGTTCTGTGGCATAGTACAGTAGCATGGATTAAATCATTACTTTTAAAAACTTTTGTCTTTAATTGCTGCAGTTACTATTTTGTACTAGTGTGTTGTGTTGTTTTGTTTTTTAAATAGCTTGATTTTTTTTTTTACACAGTTAATGTGTTTCATAATTTGTTTAACTTCATGAAAAGCCCCAGGATCCCTTTTTTGACTAGAACACACACAAAGTTGACAAGCTCATAGCAGGCACTATATTTGCAAACAGCAACATATTCTGATTAATTGAACAACTAGAAATTGGAAATGTTGAAATGCTTCTGTCAGACTATGCTGTTTTATTAGGGCTTGCAATGACCGCATGTTTCCAGCATTAAGAGTTTCATAGAAGGCTGAGATTTCAGAGACTCTGAGGATCTGAGAGTGTCCAGGTGAGGGAGCATAATTTTTGCAGTGATTTCGATATGTTACAATAACTGCTGAGGGAGCTGTTTTCGTTGCATGACAGATGTCAGTATCTCTGCTCTCCGCATTCATCTGAATAGTTGATTTCAATTTGAGACCCCTGGCAGAGATTCAGTTAAACGTTCAGTTCATGGATTCATAGATGTTAGGGGGTGGAAGGGACCTCGTAGATCATCGGGTCCAGCCCCCCCTACACTAGGCAGGAAAAGACAACTGGGGTCAAGTGACCCCAGCGAGGTGACTGTACAGCAGGGGGGGGCAAAATATGGCCCGCCAAGAGCTTTTGTCAGGCCTGCAGAGCCCTTCAAAACCTAGTAATGGCAGCTGCCTGTCTAAAAGCCTCCAGCAGCGGTCAGTGGCACCAGCTGCAGGACCTTAGGCTGTTTACTTGGGTTTTGGTTGGGAGGCAACCAACCCTGACCTCAGCCTGACCCAGCTGGCCTCACCCTGCCCCTGGCTCAGGCCACTTTGCAGCTTAAGAGGGGCGGGGGGCTGGGCCAGAACCTGTGGTGCTGGTGAGGGGAAGGAGAGTCTGGGCCAGCTTCTGCCTCCTGCACGGGACTAGAAAGAACCTTGCTGTGCAGGTCAGCCCAGGAAAGCAGCTGTTGGGCTGGCTTTCCCCATGCTGTGTCTCTCGGGCCATGCTGGGTTGGGCTGGGTCGGCACTGGGCAGGGGAAGCAGCAGCTGGGCCGGCTGTGCCATGTGCAGCTCTGGCCTGGTCAGCACCAGGGTGGAAAGGTGGCAGCTGAGCTGTGTGCCACTTGGGACTGGCTAGGTGGGCTGGCTGAGGTAAGGGGAAGCTGCGGCTTTGCCTTGTGCAGTTTGGGCTAGGCCGGACGGGCACCAGGGAGAGAGAGAGAGCGGCTCCTGGGCCGGTCCCGAGCAGCACATGGCTCAACTGCCACTTCTGCTGGCCGTGCCGACCCGGCCGGGCTCTTCCTGTCCCCAGCAGCACGTGGGAAGTCAGCTTCGGCTGCATGCCACTTTTCCTGGCTGGGCCCTTCCCATCCGGAGCAGCATGCGGCTGAAGCTGGCTTCCCACGTGGTGCTGGGGACGGGGCTGCCCGGACCAGCAGAAGTAGAGGCGGAGCCTCCTGCTTTTTGGGACCAGCTGACGCAGGTAGGGGGAAAGTGCAGCCACACCTGGGGAAGGTGCGGCTGGGCCGGTGTCAGTCCCATGCAGCTTGATAGGGGATGGGATGGGCTGGCACTGGGGAGGGAAAGCTATGGCTGAGCCCCCTTCGGCTCAAGATGGGATGGGTCCTACAGCGTAGAGGGGGCTGTGCTGGTGAGAGGACCTGAGCCTGGGCTGGGTTCTGCTGTGTCACAGGAGGAGGGTGGGGTGGGCTGGGATGGGTCAGGACCAGGTCATGCTGGCACCAGTGAGGGGTGGGGGAGTTGGCCAGCTTTT